GCTCTTGTGAGCACTGCATTCATGGCCCTGAACAGACTTGTGCTCTCATTTCCTACTTTTTCACAGCATACATTCCCACACCCCAGATCCCACATCCCCACAGTCCATAAATAGTCCATGAATCTGCATTCCTCCAAGCCTTCGCTCATGCAGGCCCCTCTGCCTGGCTGACCCTTCCTCCCCCTCCCTCACTAGACCACGTCTATGCATTCTTCTATGCCCAGGCCTAAACTTTCCCTCCATATGGAGCCTTGCCTAGAAATCATCCAGGGAAATGAGTAGCTTCATCCCCCCAAATTACACAGTAAGTCCCTAATCCTTCTTAGAATTTATCCCATTCAGTCGGTGCACAGTCCCCATCATTATTCAATTGTCAGATCCCTGCAAATCAGCTCTCCTTCCTAAAAGTGTCAATGCATGCATTTGAATGGGAACCTCTGATCACTACTGTGAGTGTCGTAAGCAAGCATCACTCCGCAAGTGTCACATCAAAGTAAACTCTATGGAGGGCCAGGCCACGGCATTATACAACAGCTGGACTGAAACCTCAGGAAGGTTCTAAGCCTGCAGTCTCCTCTCTCTTTACTAAAAGAAGGGTCAGTTAATGAAGCAGCTATACCCCGACTTCCTCCTTGACCATGGGCCTTGATGGGGAACTGACATGGACCGACTGTGCCACTTGGACACTCCATGTGCCACCTACAATCTCACGTGTCCTCGAACTCTTTTTACAAATGAGAAGCAGTGAGCAGAAACACCTCTTTTCTTTTCTTTTTTTTTGGAGAGGTTTTCGCTATAGGGCGTGTACACACGCCAGACAAACAGAGAGACAGAGACAGAAAGCGAGAAATCACCCCCCAGAGGGGATGGTCATACCGCAATCCCTTCTCCTCCATTCTCCTCTTGGGATCTTGGGCACGCACACACATGCGCCCGGTGTGAGTTTTAAGTCACCAGATCTGGGACGCGAACCGCGGTTGACTACGTGGGAGTCCAGCGACATAGCCATTACGCTAACTGCTGGTTCCCAGAAACACCTCCTTTCTGCACTCTGAGGAAAGGGGGCTGGAAAGTGGAGGGACTTGCGCAGTGCTGAGCCAGGTGGGAAGCCAGGCCATCCCCTCAGGCTCCTGCTCCAAGACCTGAGTCTCTGCCCACCCCCTCCATTCCCAAGAGGAGTCCTGGAGAGCCCTGGCCCCGTGCCCACTCACATCCGCAGGGTCGTTTTCATTGGAAACGTTGACCAGGTAGATGAGCTCAGTATACAGGAAATTCTCAAGAGGGTACGGGTTGCTCCAGGTCAGCAGCCATGTGTTGGAGATGTCGCCATGAACCGTGAGGTTTGCTGGGGCTCTGGGTTTCACTGTGGGAAAAGCGATAGATACCTGCCTGAGAAGCTAGTATAGACCTGGGGAAGGGGTACTACGTCGCAGCCCCGAGGAAAGTGCGCCATGTCCTGGCCCCAGGTTACCTAGAATTTTAGTCAACATCTTCTGCACAGAACACTTGCAAGGTACCACACTGGGTTAGAGGATTACAATCATCATACCCAAGATAATGTTTCTAAATTCTACATAGCACTTCGGTGTTTAGTAACTACCTTTCTACAGCAAGTGCAGAATGTATGAGCCAAAGTAACTCAGATCAGTCTTTTCGTGTTCATCCTTCATACTTCTGGCCACATCTAGGTATTGTACTGTACTATTAATTACTGCAGATTTAAACTTAGTCTCGGGACCAGCAGATGGCATCATGGTTAAGTTGTTGGACTCCCATGTAGTCAACTATGGATCAAGTCCTGGACCTGGTGGCTTAAAACTCATGCTGAGCATGTTTGTGTGCATTCCCAGAATTCCGAGAGAAAAATGGAGGAGAAGGGATGGCCAGGCCCCCCACCCCCCAGGGAGAGGGTGATTTCTCACTTTCTGTCTCTCTGGTGAGTGTACATGCCCTATAGCAAAAATCTCTCTCTTAAAAAAAAAATTGTCTCATCTTAAGCAAACATATCCATGAGATCATGGGTAAATCAATGCATCACAATCCATATGCAATTGTAAAAATTATTTTAAAAGGGACCAGCAGTTGGCATAATGGCTATGTCGCTAGACTCCCATGTAGTCAACCATGTTTTGAGTCAAGTGCCCAGAGGCTTAAACCCACGCCAGGTGTGTGTGCATGTGTGCCCAAGATCCTGAGAGGAGGATGGAAGAGAAGGGATTGCAGTGTGGCCATCCCTCTGGGGGGTGATTTCTGGCTTTCTATCTCTCTGTCTCTCTCTCTCTGTCTGGCGAGTGCACGCACCTTATAGCAAAAACCTCTCCCAAAAAAAGTACGCCCATGAGAGAATTCCTGCAAACTCTGGGTACCAGGATAAAGTCAGCCTTCCACAGTCAAGACCCTGAGAAGAAGTGGCAGCTAGCTAGGCCACAGAAGGTGGAAGGACTGTTCTCGGTTCAGACTGATCTGCAGCAACTACGCCTTCCATTCAACAGGCCTCATCTCGACACTGCTTCCCAGGCGTTTATGTTTAGGGGTTGAAATAGTTGAACTGAAGGGCCCAGACATATTACTGAGACCAACCCCACTTGAAAGATGGAACTGAGGCCCAGAAAGGGGTAGGGACCCACCAGATTCAGGAAAACATAAAAGGCTTCCTTCTGCTGCTTGGGCCCAGCATTTTCTGCTTCGGGACCCAGCCAGCTCAGGAACACCTGCTCGCCAGTCATCCCCCTCACCATGCTCGCTGGGTATGAATAAGCCAGTCCACAGCAGCCGCCTCCCAGCCCACAGGGCCAGCTTGTAGCTGTCAGCTGAGGTCACGTCCTCCGTGATAAACAGGGTGCACATGCACATGGCATCTTCGCTGTTCTCAGGGACACACGTGAAGTTTCTGCAGACACAGGAGCTGGGTTACAGACAGGCCACGGTGACCACGGTGGCCCCTGGGCCAAGGCCCAGGGAACCACAGGCTCTTCCTACTCCCTGATCTCCTGACTTGAGGACCAGATCTGGGGGAATGGCCAGGGTGGTGTGGTGGGGATAGTAGACCAGGGTAACCATTACACCATCTGCTGGTCTCTAAAACTACTTTTTAGTAATACTAAGACATCATCTGTCTTTTTACTCTCTTTCACAAGTGTACAGTGGAGTTTTCCAGAAGTGCTGTGACATCACTGCTCTGATAGCTTGTTGTATGTGGGCTTGTGTGTTGTCACGATTTAAAGTGTCTCAGTGGGACCAGCAGTTAGTGTAATGGCTATGTCGCTGGACTCCCACATAGTCGACTGCAGTTTGCGTCCCGGACGCATGTGTGTGCGTGCTCAAGATCCCGAGAAGAGAATGGAGAAGGGATTGCGGCATGGCTATCCCCCCGGGGGGTGATTTCTTGCTTTCTATCTCTCTGTCTCTCTCTGTCTGTCTGTCTGGTGAGCGCACGTGCAAAAATCTCTCAAAAATAAAATAAAATAAAAATAAAAATAAAAATCTCTCAAAAATAAAATAAAATAAAGTGTCTCAGTTTCGGGATCAGCAGATGGCATAATGGCTATGTTGCTGAACTCCCACAGAGTCGACTGCTGTTTGAGTACTGGACCTGGCGGCTTGAAACTCATGCCAGGCGTTTACGTGTGCATGCTCAAAATCCCAAGTAGAGACTACAGAAGAAGGGACTGCAGCATGGCCATCCCCCTAGGGCGTGATTTCTTGCTTTCTATCTCTCCGTCTCTGTCTCTCTGGCAAGTCCATACACCTTATAGCAAAAACCTCTCTCTTAAAATAAATAAATAAATAAATAAATAAAAATAAAGTGTCGCAGCCTCAATTTCTAATCAGGTAAATGTTGATTGCTATAAGTCACCTAGACAACAGCTTTTGGGCTCTTTATTAATTTTAAGTGTGCAGAAGTGTCCGTAGACCAAAACGTTTGAAAACTGCTAGTTGAGTCCCACATCCCAGCCACGTCCACATGCCACCATGACACGAGCGCAGAGCACTGGTGTGTGCTCTACTGTCTTGCAGACGTCTCCCAAGAGCTGAGCTCACGTCTGAGTCACACTCAAAAGGCCACAGCAAGCCACATTTGGCAACACACACTGGAGAGCACTGTCTGGTTCAGGCTGACTCCGGGTGTAAACTCTAGGCCCGGCCTCCCTCCCCACCTCACAGGCTTACTCAGGGGACAGGTCGTAGTCCAGCTGGTACGACAGACGGAGCTCGGAGCTGCAGTTGGTGGGACTGTCCATCTCCCACTCGCAGGTGGAGGTGCTGAGGAAGTCGGAGAAGCAAGTGGGCTCGCGCAGGACTTCAACACCCCCTGGAGAGACACGGATGCACTCTGAGCAGCGGGGACAATCCCAGTACAAACCCTGCAAGGTCACTCTGTGAGTCTGCAAACCTCCCCCCTTACTTCTGCTCCTCTAGGCAGGCTTCTCCTGTGGATATCTGCACAGTACCCCCCACAGCCCGCTTCTTCAAGGGGGCTCAAGTGTCACCTCAATGCGGCCTTCCCTAACCACCCCATTGTAACCTGAAATCTCCCACTTCACTCAGCTTTCCCCAGCACCCTTCCTCTGCTCTACATCCTTTTCCTCTTGCTTTCTAACCATCTTTACAATTTGCATCTATATGAAACTGTGTGTTATTGCTGTCCCCTCCCTCTACAATGGCACCATCTTTGTTTTGTTCACCGATGTCTCCTAAGAGCCTGGCATATAGTCAACAGTGAGTCAATGTGGCTGAGAGGGTGACTTACCAGTGCCTGCCACCCACAGCAGGAACAGGCAGCTCATGGGGAACAGGCACCCACAGCGAAGTCGCCCCATTGGGAGATGCAAAGTCTCCTGCTGAGAAAAGGGAATAGTTGAGTGCCGACCTGTAGGCTCAGCAGGCAGACCCCGCACCAGCGCCACACTGAGACAAGTGCTAGAGGCAGGATGGGTTCAGAGGAGAGCACTAGCCCCCAGCAGTCCAGGAACAAAAAACAATGACCCCAGGGCTGGCAGGCAGCATGGTGGTTAAGGGCACTGGATTCCCACATGGCCGACCATGGTTTGAGTCCAGTACCTGGTGGCTTGCTTTCTCAGCCCCCTCCTCCCCCCCTCACTCTGTCCCTCTCTGGTCAAAATTAAAAATAAATAAAGTTAAATAAAATAATTCTTAAAAAAAAATCCCATCATAGGTTAGAGCCCCCGGCAATATTAAGAAGACCCATTTCCTCCCCACCTTATCATGGGGTCTTATTTTAAAGGGCGGCTCCCAGGCCCCATTGACTGGTCAGCAGCTGTGTGCTGTCAGAGAGTTCACCATCTCTCCGAGCGCTGGCTTCTTTTTTTCTTTTTTTAGTTTTTTTTTGCTATAGGGTGTGTGAGCTTGATGGACACAGTCAAAGTGGGAAACCATGGACTGGGGGTTATGGGCACACCTCAGTCCCTTCTCCTCCATTCTCCTCTCGGGATTTCAGGCACGCACACACATGGGCCCAGTGTGATTTTCAAGTTACCGGGTCTGAGATTAAAACCATAGCTGGCCATGTGGGAGTCCAGCACCTTAACCACCATGCCACCTGCTGGTCCTAAGAGTGGTGGCGTTTTTTTTCTTTCTGTGTCATGGGAATGATTCTAAGATGAATCTTATGGTTCCACAAAGAAGGAATGAGGGGCTGTGCCAGGCACCTGGGGTGCAATAAGGCTCACGGCCATGCTGGGGACCCAGGCCGCTGCTGGAGCTCCTCAGTGACTTTAGCCCTGAAGACCCTGGTCGGCCGCCCCGCCTCCCTCTCCACCTGGGCCCCCCCACCAGTGCACCCTGCGCTCTCATAGACAATGTGAGACACAGGCACCCACACATGAAATCACCCCCCAGGGGGGATGGTCACGCCGCAATCCCTTCTCCTCCATTCTCCTCTCGGGATCTTGGGCACGCACGCACACGCGCCCGGCGTGAGTTTTAAGCCACCGGGTCCGGGACACGAACCGCGGTCGACTACGTGGGAGTCCAGCGACATAGCCATTACGCTTACTGCTGGTTCCCTAGCTCCAGTTTTGAATACAGAGAAACAGAGAGGCCAAGAACCCTGTTGAAGTCACATAGCAACTCCCTCTATTCTGCCTCCAGCCCCATCCTCCCAGTCCCTAATCATCATCCTCCATCTACTTCTGAAGTCACTTTTTTCTTTTTTTCAGTTTTGACATGTGAGGGAGAACGTGAGGTGTTTCTCTTTCTGTCCCCGGCTATTTCACTAACGTCCTCCAGGCTTGCCCATTTAACCTCACATGACAAGTTTTCATCCTTTTTAGTACTGAATACCATCCCGTTGTGTGTGTGTGCCATCCCATCATCTGTCCACGGACACTTAGGTCGCCTCTGCGTCATGGCTCTGGGGAACAGCGCGGCAATATGCACTGGGGTGCAGACATCGACGACATGCTGCCTTTCTTTCCTTTGGACGCACGCCCAGTCGCAGGGTGGCTGGATCACAGGGCACTTCTAGTTCCAGCTTTCTGAGGACCCTCCATATTGTTTCCCATAACAAAATTCCAGATAGGGAAGAGGCGCCATGTCTAGTGCTGTAAAATTCAGCGAGGTGAATACGGTCAACAACCACTTCCTGTAAATCTCAGAGTACCTGAAGGAGAGGATTTTGAATGTTCCCAAAAGAAACGAAGACCAGTGGTTGAGAAGAAGCGTACACGAATCACCTGATTTAGCCACGATCCGCCTGAGGTTACACAGTGTCACCATCCTGGATCTGGACCTAGCACGCAGGCTCCAGTCTCGGCTCTTAAATATTCTCTGTCCACAAACCAAGTCCTTAATGTTTGGGGGACCACTGACCTGTCTGAACATCTGATGCAAACTCCAAAGTCTCTAACAGTGTACACTTAACTCTGCCGTTCATTTTAGGGGTTCACAGATTTCCCCCAAAGCCCAAGTGAAGACTCCAGGTCAAAGGATCCTACTCTAGGCAATGGGCAGCTAGTGAGGGTCTTTGACTAGGGGAGTGGCAAGATTTTTCAAGAACCCATTGTGGGGCAGAGTAAAGTCTCAGGGGGTGGGGCAGTAGCTGCAGACATGGACTGCCCCCACCCAGTTTCTTCTCTGCATTGCAGCCAGAGTCTTTCTTTTCTTTTCCTTTTTTTTTTTTTTAAAGTTGGAAGCGAGGCCATGAACTGCAGGCACACACCATCCAATGGGTTTAGTCCCTGCAGGACTTCATCAGGGGCCAAGCATACCCCAGGGTCCACAGCTCACCAAACAGGAGTATTTCTGACTCAATAAAAATCCAGGCCCCTCAGTGAAAAAAAAGGTAGTCCCCCAAGAGTATACTCTGTATCACTCTATTTATGTCACATTCTTGCAATCGCAGAATTATGGAAATGGAAAACAGATTAGTGGTTGCTAGGGGTTACCGGGAGGTGGGGGCAGGAAGGGAGTTGGGTGTGGCCATAAAAGGGCAACTGGAGGGATCCCGGTGCTGACAGAACTGTTGGGTATCTTGGCTGTGAGGGTGGAGACGCGAACCTCTGCAGCCTTTGCAGCTCAGGGATGAGTGTGCACTGAGCTCAAACAAGGCACGCTCTCGCACGCACACCGTGAGTACAGACGACTCAGGAAATCGGAATGAGCCCAGTGGGTCATATCAGCGTCAGAATCCTGGTGATGTTTCCTGTGGATCTGTAAGACACTGCCTCTGGGGACGCTGGGAGTAGAGGGAATCTCACTCATTTTTCACAACTGCACGTAGGCCTACATTATTTTTAAATAAAAAGTTTAATTTAAGAAAATGAAAAAAGGCCAGCCCCATAGCAGTGATTAAACCCTGTGCACTGGGAGCCAGATCACAGAAGAGCAATCGTGATTCCAATCCCAGTCCCAACAGCTTGAAAAAGCACACTGATCGTGTGTGTGTGTGTGTGTGCACATGTGTGTGTCCTAAATCCCAAAAGGATGGGGAAATGGAGAAGGTATTGTCGCATGAGCACGTCTCACTTGGGGGATACATCCTCTCTCCCTCTCTATGTCTCTCTCTCTCTGGAGAGCATACATACCTTCTGGCAATAAATAAGTTTTAAAATAGAACACTATTGGGGCCAGCAGGTGGCGTGGTGGTTAAGGGCGCTGGACTCCCACATGGCCGACTGCAGTTTGAGTCCCAGACCTGGAGGCCTACTTTCTCACTTTCTCTCTCTGAACTTCTCTGCTCAAATTTAAAAATAAATAAATAAGATAATTCTTTTTTTAAAAAAATAGAACATTATTAAAAAAATAAAAAGATCCAAACCCCCTGATGATGGGGTGCTTCCTACCCTCTCATGTTCCCTCCTACCTTCTTCCCTCCCTGACAAGCTCCAGGGACCTTCTGAGCCCCAATCACTCCCAGCCCTGACCTATCTTGAAGACTCTGCAGCTACACACACTTCAAAGAGGCCTGCTCGGACACCTCCCCCATCCAACAGGGCTCTCCCCTGTGACTTATCACAGCACCCTGCTTCTTTCTGTGGCAGGACTTATCACCACCTTTAATCGTATTAGTGAGGTTCCATGTGTGAATGTTTATTTCATTTCAGAATGCAGATGGCAAAGATAAAAAGATCTGACTGCAAAAAAATGTTTTCAACTTCCCTGGATCATTAAAAACACTAAGCAAGCAGGCAGAAAGCTAGAAAAAGCTAGCAATCTACATTTCTTTCTTTGTTTAAGAATTACTTTTATTTAACTTTACTTATTTATTTACTTATTTTAATTTGACCAGAGAGGGACAGAGTAAGAGAGAAAGAGGGAGGGAAAGTGAGAAAGCAAGCCGCCAGGTCCAGGACTGAAATCGTGGTCAGCATGTAGAAGTCTAGCACCCTTAACCACCATGCCACCTGCTGGCCCCGGCACGCTACATTTCAAAGAGCTTTAATATATAAAGAGATCTTACGAAGCAATAAGACAATCATCTCTTTAAGGACCTAGGTAAAGGACATGAATAGTTCACATCCGTACCCCCTGGTGGGAAGATGTGAAACAGCCACTCTCAGTCTGCTGCTGGTTCATGAAGGTGGGAGCTTTGTCTGGCCTGGGCAGTGCCTAAAACAGTGCCTGACACACACACACAGTATGAGCTCAGCGAACGTCTCTTAAATGACTGAGTGCTTATGATTCAGGAATAACAAACTCAATAAATTATTTTTACTTATTCATTTGGAATGTCAGAGGGCATGTGCACTCACTTGGGGGAGAGAGAGAGAGAAAGCTCCATGGGGAATGGTTATACCACAATACACTCTGCTATTTCTTCCTCCTTTTGGGATTTTGAGCATGCACACACATGTGCCTGGCATGTGTTTAAAGCAACCAGGACCAGGATTTGAACCACATAGTTAGCCATGGGGGTCCCAGCCACCTTAGCCGCCATGCCACCAGCTGGCCCAATAAACCATTTATAAACACAGACTATATACCAAGCTTTCGTCCATAATTTGAACCTACTTCAGAATCCATGTGCTTAGCCACTGTGTTTTGCTGCCTCTTGAAATACAGTCCCTGAACCCTGGGGGGATGGTTTTATTAGCCCCATGAGCCAAATAGGAAGACTGAGGCCCAGGGAGGGCAAGTGACATGACCAAGGTCAAGAAGTTAGGAAGCCGGCGCGGTCGGTGAGAGCCCGAGCCAGGAAGCGAGCAGAAGCACCCAGACCGGGAAAACATGCCAGCTGGCAGGAAGACACACTGGACTCACTTTTGTTTAGTTTGGGAGGAGGTAAGGAGTGAGTCTTGAACTGTCAGAAGACAACAGCAGTCTGGAAGCGGCCAAGCAGGCCTTCCAGAACCCCTGGGTGAGCTGGCGTCTGGCTCCTCTT